CAAAAGGTATGCATTTAAGGTCTCCAGTGAAAGTACAGAATATCAAAATTGTTGATATTGAGTCTCTTTTTCTTTAAGTCTGTTACTTTCCAATTAGTTGTACTTAGGAAACTAGCTAACTGGCAATCTGTTGTTATCAGCTAGACCAAAAGAAAACCTCAAGAAAATGCAGGTTTCTGGTAAATTTATTAGTGTAGCTGACATTTTCCCACCTGCTTATCAGAAACAAACATGTGGACACTGTTTGAAAATAGAAAGCTATAAAAATACTTGGAAAAATCTAAATCATTAGATAATTAACTGTCTCGGGCTGCATGCAGTGGTGCACGCCTGTAATCAGCTTGGGAAGCTGAGATAGGAGGATTGCAAGTTCAAAACCAGCCTCAGCAGTGGCAGAGGCACTTAGCAACTCAGTGAGACCCTCTCTCTAAATAAAATACAAAATAGGGCTGGGGGTGTGGCTCAGTGGTTGAGTGCAATCTCTGGTACCAAAATAGAAAAAAAAAAAAAAAAGAAAAAGAAAAGCAAGATAATTAACTGTTTCAGAAATGAAATAAAATTGATACCCACTTAGAATATAGTAATTTTTTGTATGCTTTTGGTATTGTAAATATATATTCCAGTTGAATACTTACAGAGTATCCTAAAAGACTTTGAAGTAACATCTTAAATGACTGCCTGTTAGAACAACATAAAAATCACAGACTTTTAGATAAATAGTAATTTGAACATTTTAATTTATTAAATAACATTTAAGGTAATTCTCACTTTTTACTTCTGTTTTGAATTTTTCTTACTGCAGGGTCACTGCTAGAACCTGGAACTGCCTAATTAGCTTTCCTATTTCCTCAGTTTACCAGTTTTGCACTCAATTGTTATTCATTTTGTGTGTGTATCTTTACAGAAGCAGTAGTTTAATGGAAATCATAGTCTGGCTTCTTGCATATAAAATTTTGCATCAGAAATCCAGCATTATGTTTTACAAAGTTGTACTTCAATCTAAAAGGACAACTGTATACAATTGAACTTAATCAAGTAATAAAATGTTTTCTTTTTGAAACGTTGACTTTTTCCTTAATGAATAAAAGACACCTGGGGCTGGAGTTGTGGCTCAGTGGTAGAGCGCTTGCCTGGCATGTGTGAGGTCCTGGGTTCAATCTTCAGCATCATACATAAATAAATAAAATGAAAAGTCCATTGACAACTAAAAGAAATTTTTAAAAAAGACATTCAAGGAACTTTTTTTAAGTCATAAAATCTAACAGGGCTTCTTTGTTTCTTCACAAGCATCTTTTCAAAAAAATTTTTTTTAATTGTTAATGGACATTTATTTTATTTGTTTATTTGTGTGGTGCTAAGAATCAAACCCAATGCCTCACACATGCCAGGAAAGTGCTCTTCCACTGAGCTACACCCCCAACCTCAATGTGTCTTTATTTTTTTTTCAAGTTAAAAACACTCCATCTTTTTTTATTGTTAATTTTCTTAGCTGTCTTCTTTTTCATTAAATACTATCTTTTCTCCAAGAAATAAAGTATTATAATAAAGCTTGTAGCTAAACCCTACTAATAATCATCTTTAGAAGGAAACAGATCTTTAAGGATACTTTGTTGCTTTTTAGAAAACAGATTTAAATGATTCCTAAATTTCTTCAGAACTTTTTTTCAATTGCAATTTTGCCATGAATTACTGTTACTGTCAATCTACAGCCTTTCAAACTAGCTACTACAGTCTTTCTGCATTCTTCAACTTCTTCCTTAAAATGTTAGAGCTTATCTTGGGCTTTGTAGGTTTTTGTTTTATTTTTACTTTTTTTTTTTACTGGGGGGTTGGACCCAAGGGTACTATATTATGGAGCTTCATCCCCAGTTCCTTTTTTTTTTTTTTTTAATACAGAATCTCACTAAATTGCTGAGGCTGACCTCAAACTTGTGATCCTCCTGCCTCAGCCTTTTGAGTCTTTGGGATTATAGGCATGCACCACTATGCCCAGCTTACCTTGGGCTTTATCATTTTATTTGCTCTGATAATTTTATATTATCCTACATCTTTCTACTAGTGATTTTATCTTTCATTTAATCATTTAAGGGAATGAATATGATATGATGCCAAATTAGATGACAACAACAACAAACACCAAAATGACAGCTGAACACAATATGCAAATAAGTAACCCTCATTAGTCCTTTTTATAAGTTCCATTTACATAGCCTGCTCTGCCATTTCTCGTGTTACATGTGGGATTTGGAGAATATATTCTATAAGAATAATGGTTTTGAGCATTCTCCCCCCTTATACTTTTTTCTCCTTGCTGAATTCTTCCTTCCTGCTTCACTCATTTATTCCTCTCCACTTGGCACCTTCTCCTCCACTTTGAGGATATATAGGATTGAGAATGAGTAAGTCTAATGCCAATAAAAATCTTAGGATGATACAGTTATGAAACAGATTTTTATTGTTTATTAGTCTTCTATTGTTCGGTTGTTATTGTTCTAGGCCTTTGAAATATTTTATTTAAAAAGTGGGATGATTAAAAATAAGATGCAGACATAAGTATATGCAAGTGGTATTAGACAGCTATAAATCGATAATTACGGTCATTAACTTAAGGCCATAAATGCCTATGGTTGTATTTCTTCCCTAATTCCTTATAGATTATAATTCACATTTAAATCAGCAGAGGCTAAAATAAATGACAAAAACTTCTATAACAAATCCAAGAAAGCTAATTTGCTTGGACTGTTGCTTAAATCTCTCTGTACTCCCATCTACTTCATTCTCATATTCGGAATACTATAAATTAAGGTAAAAATATATCAACTGTCTGTGTAACTCCTAGGCAACTAATTTGCTCACTTTTTCATTTAAGTTTTCTCACCTCTGAAGCAGGAATAATAATAGTATCTATCACACAGAATTCTTATGATCATTATCCCCAAAGGGCATAGAACAATTCTAGGTACATAAGTGTCTCTATCCACCAGAGCTCCACAAGAGAATTAGGCCCTATAGAGAAAAATGATTTGAATTAGTTCTTGTACTAGGAGTACCTAGTAAGTACCAGTTCAGATGCATAGGAATTATTAAATCATTTACTTGTAATAATGCTGTAGGCATCAGGGCTTAATTCCTTTGAGGAACCTCAAGTGAAAAGGCCTCATAGTTGCTCAGAATATTTTAACTATTATTATTTTGGTTGCAAATGACAGAAATCCATATTCAAACTGGTTTACTTAGTTGTTTCCTAAGTGAAAAAACAAGGAAGGCTTCAGAGATGGCTTTTTAGAATTCTGACTATCTCTACCATTCTGTTGGTTTTGGCCATTGGGTCAAACTAAAATTTCTAACTAAATTTTCAAAATATAGACTTATGGCTAAAAATTATGTTTTTAGAACATATTTAAGAAATTAGCATATTTGAAATATAGTAGTTTCTAAATAAGAGTTCATTCTTAGATAATTGTATCTGGTAGTTATGTGTTTAAATATATAAGAAAAATATTAAAGTCCTGGAAAAGCTATATTTATGCTTTTTTATCTACACTAATATTAGTTACGTTGACCCAATTTATTAAGGTTTTTAAGATAAGCTGCCAAAACAAAAAGAACAAAATCATAAAACAAAAGGTGGGGTGTACAGAAATAACTTGAAGAAGGGATTTTGAAGTACAGACCAAGGGTAGTTAAGGATACGATCAAGGTGTCAAGGACAGTTAATTCAAAAGAGCACATTTATAGGAGTGGTGCCTTGACTTCACAGGGTAGCTATCCATTCTGTGGCTGGAGCAGTTCCAGTTATTTCTTCTTCCAAGGATGTTAGGGGAAATAAAAAAGTGGATGTGGACTTGGCTTTATGCAGAGGTCTAAACCAGATTTCCAGGGTCCCCTCTTACTGTGCTTTTGAAAAAATAGCAAGAGGAATCTCCACTTTGGAAAATGTTCTTCCATTGTAACCCATTGTTCTCAAGGCAGTCATACAGGCCCTAAGACACATTTGAAACCTACTTATAAAAAATGTAAATACTCAGTACTAAGATTACTTTTATAGAGATTGCAAAGCTGTCTAAAATTATAGTGTACATCTTTTTTTGTTCTATGTGCACCAATATTGATGATCTTCAGGTTGTATTGTTGGGAGAGATCAGCAAAGTGTAGAACAGCATGTTTAATGTCTGTTGTATGGGTAAAAATAAGTGAGTATGTGTTCATATGTCTTATACATTATATATGTACAAACTATCATGGGTAGACTACACTAAAAAGCTAATAACAATGGTTATCTCCATGGAAGGAAACTGATTAGTTGGTAACTGTTAAAAGTAAGCCCATACTTTTTCGGTATTAGATATTTAACAGATATCTCTGATCAGAGCTTCAGAACATTCTAAGCATCCACACATGGCTTCCTAATTATAAATAATCTGGAGATACCAAACATAATTATGAAATTATGATTTTTTTAAGTACTGGGGTTTGAATCCAGGGGACTTTACCACTGAGCTACATCCCCAGTCTTTTTTATTTTTAGTTTGAAGAGAGGGTCTTGCTAAGTTGCTGAGGCTGGCCTCAATCTTGGAAACTTTCTGCCTCAGCCTCCCTGAATTGCTGGTGGTTTTACTCTTTTAAGCCTGTTAGCTGAAGAGTTCACATTTGTTTTCAGGTAGTATAGGGAAAAGGTAGGCTGCATGTGGTGGCACACACCCGTAATCCCAGCAGCTTAGGAGGCTAAAAGAGGCCATCAAGGCCCACATCAGCAACTTAGCAAGGCCCTACACAACTTAGTGAGATCCTCTCTCAAAATTAAAAATAAAAAGGGCTGGGGATGTGGCTCAGTGGTTAAGTACACACCCCTGGGTTCAATCCCTGGCATCCCCCCCCACAAAAAAAAAATTACACACACACACGTACGTATACTTATGCTGCTCTATATCTTGAAATATTTGAGTACATTCTATGAAAATTGTCTTTTGTTTTTGCTTTATTGTATTATCACAAAACAGAAAGAAGAAGGAAAGCTTCAAGGACAGCTTAACAAGTCTGATTCTAACCAGTATATTAGGGAACTGAAAGATCAGATAGCAGAGCTGAATCATGAGGTAAGTGATAAATTTTGATCTTCACATATTTCTTTCTTCCTTCCTCTGTATTGTAACAACACTGTATTACTGGTTGTAAGACTGAGACTTTTATGTTAAATTCTATCTGAATTTTTGATTATAATTAATAATAATATTTTAGAAGATTATCTTTTTGCAAGTATTCTTCTGTTCTAATATTGTAGATTTGTTTTCCTTCAACCTCTGATTATGACCTAAAATGATCGATTAATATTTTCATGAAAAATATTTTTGTTGTTGTCTGAAATTCTTTGATAGTTTTCTTAGGTTTCAAATTTGCCTCAGTTAAACGAAAGTTTTCCTTACAGATATAGAACAGGTTCGTGGAACTTAACTGTTGTGGGTAGAGGGAAGTCTTTTTACTCTTGCCTGCCTTTCTCCCTCATGGTGGTATTACTGAGATTGCAAAAAAGGATACTTGCCTAACATCAGTTAACAGATTTCTTAGTATTTGAATGCTTTTTAAACTGGCACTACCCAGAACCTGTGAAATCCAACCCATGAAATTTTCCTAATTTTACTAGATATTATACTAGTTTATATTACTCAAACTAATGTATTTTGACACGAGAGATACTCTGTGAATGTGGCTCTTAAGTCGACTTCCCTATTCTTTATTATTTTCTAATGACAAATATCTGGCAACACAAATAAAAAAGTATATTTCTTATTTTGATTTTTTTTATAAAATAGTGTTTAGTTACAGTGTTGAGATTTGAAAGAGTAGCATAAACTTGATTTGTTAAGAAAATAAAAGAAGATGAAAGAAACTCATTTTGGCTGCTAAATGATTTTAAACCTCAAAGGAAAAAGTTTAGAAATTACCCTTTCCTGATATTACACACTTCAGTTGAAGTCTGAGTGTTTTTAGGTAATACCTCCTGGAGGTAGTCAATCTAAGAGTAAATTCCAAGTGAAAAAGAACCAAACCATAGGCAAAAAGATAAATATTAGATGTAGTTCAATTCAATTTATCTTGAAATACTAAGGATCATTCCTGTAAATATTAATTTTTAGCCATGATAACATTTGAAGGATTCAGTATTCTATGTAATCTTTACCTTATTGTGTACATTTTTTATAATTTTTTTATCTACAGCATGTATGAAAGAAAACAGTTACAAAAAAAATAAGCCATATTCTAGAAATCCTTATTCTTTTGAAAACCCTACAAATTATTCCTTGTGTTTGAAAGGTGTTCTCAAAGAAAATTGTGACTAAAATAAACAATCTCCCATTTAAATTTTTGAGGTCTAGTGATAAGGAATCATTAATGTTGCTGAACTTTTGGAAAAAATTACATCAAGATTGGCTGATTGATGTAATTAAAAATTACATCAAGATTAGTTTTATTCTAAAACTAGGCTAAAAAAAAAATCAGTCAACAAACTTTAATTTTGCTTATCATATGACCTGACTAAAAATAATGGTATTTTTTTTAATGTGGCACTTGTGAAAGCAGTTTCTTTTCTTATACAAACATGAAAACTAAACACGATAGAATTTTCTTCTGTTAAAGAGCCAGATGGTGCTGGGCTCCAGTGGTGCACACCTGTAATTCCAGCAACTGCAGAGGCTGAGGAAAAAGGATTGCAAATTTGAGACCAGCCTTGGTAACTAAATAAGACTCTTGGCAGGTTAGCAAGATACTGTCTCAAAATTAAAAAAAAAAAAAAAAAAAGAAAGAAAAAAAAAAAAAAAAAAAGGAGAGGGAATAAAGCGCAGAGGTAAAACGCTTTTGGGTTCAAGCCCCAATACCAAAAAAAAAAAAAAAAAGAGGAGGAGGAGGAGGAGAACTAAATCGTGCAAATTAAAGAGAACAGTTTGTGATAAGATGCTAATAACTTCATGGTTCAGAATAGCCAAAGTCCTGGGCTTAAGCAGGCCCTAGTCAGAAGTCATGGGAGAGAGATGGGAATAGTACAGTACCGCTAGGGACCACACATGTAAGAGTTCAGAGGTAAGCATGAGAACAAAGTTGGGAGTTTAGAGTGGGTGAGATTCAGCTAAAGGATAAATTGACTACGTTGGACTAAGGCATAGGAAGGAAGAGTAAACTAAGCAGAACCAGATTATGGTGATTCTTTAAAGCTAGAAAAGGTAATATGAAACCATTGTGGGTATTCACTTGGAAGTTCTGTTTCATTATATTTCCTGAGCATATTTTATTTTTCACCTATTTAAAAGTTTTATCACTGAAGAGCATAAATGACAACAAGTGAAAAATATAAACCAAGTATTGATTGTGTATGCTTTCTACAAAAATTACTATTGTAATTGCTATTTTATTGTTGGATCAGCTCTTTTGAAGTGGTTAAATACAGGGCTGGTGATGTAGCTCAGTGTTAGAGCACTTGCCTAGCATTTGCAAGATTATGGTTTGATCCCTAGTCCCAAAAGAAAAGTGATTAAATACAGTACCTCTTTTTTATTCCACTATTTTCATTGTTTGATAGAGCACTTCACAGTTTAAAAAAAGATAACCAAAGTCAGTCTAATTTCTTCAATTTAACATTTGTATATTGGAATTTGCCCTAATCATTGGCTTTCAATATGAAAATTTACTGCAAAATATCAATAATTATATTTTGAGAATGTGACTGTTAATAGTCACTTTGTTCACTGATTTTTTAAAATTTCTCTATAATTGAAGAAAATGTTGAGAAAAACTTTACACTTTGATCTTCCTGAAGACAACTATGACCCTTTAGCATAGTCAGCTGGATGAAATAATGAAGTAGGTTATTTTTTTGAGTAGCTGAATACATTGTTATTCTATAAAATAATTATTATTTATAGACTACCCACTATGAGCATAATATTGTGTCAGACACTTTGTAGTTATTATTCCTAACCCTCTTAATAATCCCATCTGAAAGTGGTCCTCATTTGCATGAGTGTGGAAACTGAAACTCAAAATCAATATCTTGCTAGGCATTATATGAGCAAGAAATGGTAGAATCAGGATTTAATTTAATTTGGCTTGTTCTTTTTTAAAAATATTTTTATTAGTTGTTGGTGAACCTTTATTCAGTTAATTTATTTATTTGTATGTGGTGATGAGAATCCCATCCAGCACTTCACCCATGCTAGGCAAGCACTCTACCATTGATCCACAATCCCAGTCCTGACTTGTTCTTTTCTAATACTGCTTACAGAGACATTAGATTAAAAAACTTGTCATCAGTATCTAAAATCTGAAGAAGGTACTTACTAACAGTATTTTAACTGTGTTGTTCCCCCACCCCCCGTTACAAATGAATTTTTCATATATTCAAAATGAGTGCTGCAGTTGACCTAGCCACAAGAACTGTCTCTCTCTGTTGGCATTGCAAAGGAAGGTTTATCTGTACTTCCTGCAACTTACTGTGATCCATTCTAGTGCCTTCTCTCACTCCCAACCCGTTGTAATCCCTTATTACCTGATTAGTTTTGCTTCTTATTTTTTTACTTATTTTCCATAGGAATTTTTAAAGTTAGAGCCTTTTACACATTGCCATTGCCTTCAGAGAAGCCATTATGTGGAAACCCTTGTTTACATAGACCTAACAAGAGCTGGGGTTAAATCTTACTGAACTTCTTACCCCTTGTCCTCATAGACAAGAACCTGGCTATCGAAGTGCTTTTTCCTATCCCATCCTCCTACCTATCATCAGAGTACCTGCTATGCACTAGACATTGAGTTTATAACTGAAAATAAAGATTGAAATACAGTTTACACTCTTAAAGGTCTCATAGTCTGCAGTGGAAATAGGCATACAAATAAATTGCCACGCGTTATGAGAAGAATTGCAGTGTAGTGACTATCATTTATTGTTCTGTGCCAGATTTTGTACTGTTATACTTGCTATTGTTTATTTAAGTCCTCATAGTAGTCCTATGAAGAAGGTAACATCATTGTCATTCATGTTTTACATGCGATAAAACATAGGTCTGGGGAATAAAGTAACTCCCCACAGTCATGCACTAGTCAGTATAGAGGTGGGATTTTTTTTAGTTCAGGTTACGTATAACTTATACATACACTTAAGTCCACACACTCCAAGCCCAACCACCATATGCTATGTAGCCTCCTTAGAAATATAACGGGATAAGATGGTAACAACAACTGGGACAGTTTTGAAAAATGAAATTTGTCAGGCAAATTGATCATCTTGAAGGTTTAAATCAGAAACGTGAAACAAAATTACAAGTTCTGGGAATTAATAACCACCTCCTTTTGCAACACAGGAGTATCTTCTTAACAGCTGCTGACCACCAAAAACAAATGATATATTTTGTAAATGCCAGGAAACGGAGATAGAAGAAGGTTGAAAATATTCTGGTTTAGAAGACAGAGGAAATGTACTCAGGACTCATTTAGATACAGACATCTGGGAAATCAATCTTATGATTCAATCAAATTGTCAGCTAACTAGACTTCCCTGGGTCTTTTTGAGCCTTGCTATCATTTACAGTATTGTTTTATGGGAAAATGCATATTAGCCAACTGATTCAAAAATGTTTTTGGAATACAGATATATTTTTACTTTGTCTTAATAGTAGTGTGATGGTTGTAGTTCTGGTGGATGTTCTAGAAATTACAGACTAAGGATCGTTCACTTATACAAAAAGTAGACTATTCTTCAGGTTTGTTGAACATAATGATATCTAAATAAAATAATCTTAATGTACTTTATGTTCTTACCATTTTACAAAAGCAGTTCTAGTTCCGTTTGATTAGTATATTTTCTGTGTAGAGCAAATTTTCTGTATTTTTATTAAGCTTTCTGTGTTGTAGCTTCTAAAAGAGATAGTGCAGAACCTTTGGATAATTATTTTAATCTTTGTAAATATTCTGTAAAATTAATATTAATCCCATTTGATAGGCTCAGAGAGATTAAATAACTTGTCCAGGGTCACATAACTTAGTAGTAAGTTGCCAAACCTAGAATTCAGGACCAGGACATTCAGTTAGATCACAAACATATTCAACTAGA